CTGGTTGGTCCCCTACTGGATCCCAGATAATGAAATCATTCTTCTATCCTTTTGTTATTATAGTCCTGATTTTATTGTGTATGGTTTTATATAACTGTCACCTTAGTTGTACATTGAGGAAGAGAGTACAGAAATTAATCCATAATGCAGAACAGAAACAATTAGAAATTCTCCTCTCTGCCACTGGAGGGTATCAACCCATCTTTAAACTGGGCCTTAGGAATTACCACATGGGAATCGAGGTGAAGAAATTAATGAAAGTCCCGCAGGGAGTGACTAGCACCCCTGAAAATACCATGTGGAAGTTTCTCTGTCCTGGTAAGATTTTATCGATAAGATGAGCAATTGTTTTATTGCTCAAAGAGGGGAATGTAAGAATATTAAATAGTTAACTTGTTTATATGTATTTTATGCTTTTATAAGGTTTATAACATGATTATTGCTGACTGAAGGAATATTGAATACTTAAACTCAATATACGACATAATATGCTGACTGTGACAGACTAAGGTATTTCTTCTATAGGATGTAAGACAATGCTAAATTTCAGGATGTCTTGCCCATTCCGATTTTAAGGATATTCTTTTCCAGACGTATGCAAAAGCTTATCTTTCCATTGTCAGAATAACGTAATATAAGGAAGTAATAAATCTTATAATCTGTACTGTATTTGCATATACCATGGCTAATGTAAGCAAACTATGTATAAAAGCCAGCTCTGGAATACACTCATTTGAGAGTCTTGTAAAGCTGTTGTCCGTGTGTTAGTGCTTACAATGATTCTCCATCAACGTTGATTATGGTGACCGAGGGATCGAGAACCGAGGGGATTAGAGTCCATTACAACATTAACCCTTTCAGCCGCCAAACGTGTTTCTGACGGAACGCACATGTGCGGCCGAACAGACAGCTCTGAGAAACAGAGCAGAGAGCAAGCAGGTTGCGTACAAGGGGTTAACCAAGTGGAGAGTGCAGTAGCGCAGTTGAGGTAGGAGAAACCTCCAAAAGGTCTGCCAAAGTCCCAGAAGGACAATAAGGAGGGGAAAGAAAAAACTCCAATAGGGAAAAGAGGGGGGGAAAATCAGTCTACATAATAATATTACTGTAAAGGACAATAAACAGACATAAAATAGCACTAAAGAAGGACCAGCAATCAAAGTATTAGTCACTAAGGTAATATTATGTCAAATCACAATAATCACAATGGAATAAAGATCCCACCAGGGCCGGCGCTACCTGTAAGGCGACCTAGGCAGCTGCCTAGGGCGCACCTTAGCATGGGGCGCCGGATCCCTGTGCCCGGAGTCACCGGTGCGGCTCCTCATGCTGCGCCGCCTGAGCACTTTAGCAAGCCTCAGGCAGCGCAACACTGCTGTATGGAGGGCGGCCGGATTTGAGTGACTGGCAGGCAGGGCTGGACTGGCCCACCGGGATACCGGGAAAATTCCCGGTGGGCCGCGGCACCTGGGGCCGGTCTGACAGCCCTGATCAGAGCTGTCAGTCTCCCAGCACAATTTACCTTAATTTCGGCCGCATGCCCCGCCTCCGCACACAAGCCCCGTCCCCTGAACATAGCTCTGCCTCCCTCGCGCAAGCCCCGCCCCCCACACGTTGCTCGCCGGAAGGAAGAGGCTACAAAAGGGAAACTTCACCTACAGGTAAGCTTCAGCCATGACAGTGATTGTGTGTGTGTGTGTCTGTGTCTGCTAGTGAGTGAGCTTGTCTGTGTGTGTGTGCCTGCTAGCGAGTGAGCTTGCCTGTGTGTGTGTGTGTCTGCTAGTGAGTAAGCTTGTCTCTGTGTTTGTGTGTGTGCCTGCTAGTGAGTGAGCTTGTGTGTGCCTGCTAGTGAGTGAGCTTGTCTGTGTGTGTGTGCCTGCTAGTGAATGAGCTTGTGTGTGTGTGTCTGTGTGTGTGTGTGTCTGCTAGTGAGTGAGCTTGTCTGTGTGTGTGTCTGCTAGTGAGTGAGCTTGTCTGTGTGTGTGTGTGTGCGCCTGCTAGTGAGTAAGCTTGTCTGTGTGTGTGTGTGTGTGTGTGTGCGCCTGCTTGTGAGTAAGCTTGTCTGTGTGTGTGTGTGTGTGTGTGCCTGCTTGTGAGTGTGTGTAAATGAGCTTGTGTGTGTGTGTATGCCTGCTAGTGAGTGAGCTTGTCTGTGTGAAGGGCCGGTGCAAGGATTTCTGCCGTCCTAGGCAAAGATCCATTTTGCCGCCCCTTCATGTCACTCACTGACAGACACACACACGCTGTCACACATACACTCACTTATTGATACACACACACAGAAGCTCACCGACAGACACTCAATCACTGACAGACACACACACACACACAGACACTCACTGACAGACATACACACTCACTCACTGACACACACTCACTCAATGACAGACAAACACACACACACACACACACACAGACACTTACTGAGACATACACACACTCACTGACAGACATTCACTCACTGACATACACACTCACACAGACACTCACTGACAGACATACACTCCACTCAGTCACTGACACATATACACTCACTCACTGACACACACACACACACACTCACTGACAGACATATACTCACTCACTGAGAGACAGACACACACACAGACAGACACTCAGTGACAGACATACACTCACTCACTGACAGACACTCACTGACACACACACACACACACACACACACACAGGCAGACACTCAGTGACACACACGCACACTCATTGACAAACACTTAAACGCTCACCTCCCTAGGATCCAGTGTGGGGCAGCTCCTCACTCCTCCCGCCCGCTGTTTAGTATGCCGGGGCCGGAATGTGTCATATTCCGGCTCATGGCATCACAGAGGGCGCGTGAGGGAGGAGTGAGAGGCTGCAAGAACAGCCCCCCACGCCGCCTTCTCCTTCCCCCCTCTCCTCCGGTCACCGGAATTTGATGGCAGAGGGCACCTGTCATCAAGGTAAGAAGGTGCTTGCTCTGCCATACTGTGACAGGGCTCTTCTGGGCGCCCCTACTTTTGGGTGCCTGGAGGAGCGGCCCGGTGCTGAGGGGGGGCGGCTCTAGAGCCGCACGCCCAGCGCTGCGGCCCAAAGCAGGACCACTGGGGGAGGGGAGGGAATAAGGACCACTGGGGGAGGAGGGGAATAAGGACCACAGAGGGATGGTGGGAAGTAAGGACCACCAAAGGAGGGGAAGGACCACTAAGGGGGGGGGCAGAGAGGAAGGACCACTAAGGAGGGAGGACCACTGAGTAGAGGGGAGGAGGGGAAGGACCACTGAGAGGGGAAAGAAGGTAAAGACCACTGAGGGGGGAAAGGGGAAGGACCACTAAGGGGGAGGAGGGCAAGGACCACTAAGGGGGAGAGGGGGCTGAGAAGACCACCAAGGGGCGACTGCAGAGGGACAGGGGGCCAAGGAAGAGCACTAAGTGGGAGAGGGGGAGAACACTGAGGGACAGGAGGGAAGGGGAGATCACTAGTTGACAGGAGGGGAGAGCACTATGAATTTTTTCAGAGCTGCTCCCTTCTCAGTCCCTATCCTACCCCACAAACCCTCTCTTTTACACTACACACATACATAATGCATCCCCCCCCCACACACAGAAACATACAATGCATCCCTACTCACACACAGACACACTCAATGCACCCCTTACAGACACACTGCATTCAATTACATACACAGAAACACACTTTCTGTGTGTGTGTGTGTGTGTGTGTGTAAGGGCTTGCATCCCTTACACACACACACACACACCCAGAAACATACAATGCATCCACTATACACACACTACATCCCTTACACAAATTGGTATCCCTATACACTACATTCTATAAGAACACATACACATTACATCCTCTACAATAACACATCCCCTACACACATACACTCCACTCCCTGTGAGAGAACTCATGGGTGGGCCATGTAGGTGGATTTATGGGTGGGCATTGTAGGCATACTCACGGTCAAGCCCTGGGGGCCCAGACCTTGAGCTGTGTAAGGGGCCCTAAAAAATGGAGCTGCTTCCTGTTCGTTAATTGTTGTGAGCACTGTTACAAACAGTCTCCAGAGAGCCTCTTCTACACCAGACCTGTGGAGCCAGACTGAGCCCATCATCAGCCTCTTGTCCTCATCTGGTGGTAAGTAGGCAATCCAATATATTATTAGTGGCACTAATCTCTAATTTACCTCACATTAAATGGATACTATAGTCACCAGAAGCACTACAGCTTAATGTAGTGGTTCTGGTGTCTATAGCCTGTGCCTGTAGGCTTTTTAATGTAAACACACTGTCTTTTCAGATAAAAGACACTTTGTGCAGACTGGCGTTGGCCCATATGGCAGAGCATATGGGCAGGGAATTGTGATGTCACATGGTGGGCAGGACATATGGGAGGCGGCAAATAGTTTTTGCCTAGGGCGGCAAAAATCCTTGCACCGGCCCTGGATCCCACAGTTAGTAAAACCGTGAGTTAGGTGGACTTAACTGAGGGAGCAGTAAAGAAAGAGGAAGTGGTCACCTATGTTCCGCCTACTATAAGATAAGGATGTCGCTGATTGGATGTTTATGTTACTAGGCGGATATTGTCATTGTGATGTTTATACTTGTTTTAGGATGGCTAGAAGGTTGGAGGAGATTTCAAACTAGTACTGGGGGGAAGGTTATAGCAATCTACAAAATGGAGATAGGACAGAAAAGAGATGGGCTTTAGCCCAGTATAAGGGGGGTGGAGACGGGGGGAGGGGCAAGCTCAGAACAGAGAAGCTATGTAATGTTGATAATTCACAAAAAGTACAAGTGACTCATGATATTAAATGTATGCTTACTAATGCAAGGAGCCTAAATAACAAAATGGGGGAACTAGAGGCAGTAGCATACACTAAACAATATGATATAATAGGCATAACTGAAACATGGTGGGATGAGACACATGACTGGGAAGTTAACATAGGCGTGCACAGCCTATTGCATTAGGGTGTGCACCCTAAAGCACAAACACACGCCGCGTGTGTGTGTGTGTGTGTGTATGTATCTATATATATATATATATATATAGATATATACACACACACACACATACACTGCTGTGTGTGCTGTTAGTGTGATGTGTGTGTGAGGATGCTGTTAGTGTGATGTGAGGGTGTTTGTGTGTGTGTGTTTGTGACTGTGCTGTTTGTGTGTGAGGGTGTTTGTGTGTGAGGGTGTTTGTGTGTGTATGTTTGTCCTGTGAGGGTGCTGTTTGTGTGAGTGTCGTGTATTTGTGAGGGTGCTGTTTGTGTGTGTGTATTTGTGCCAGCCCCATAAGTCACTGCGCCATATATTGTCGCGTGTAATATGTAAGGCTATGTCTTGCCAGGACAGATGATTGAGTAATATATATATATATATATATATATATATATATATATTGCTTTTTCTAATATAAAATATAGGTCCTTTCAGGGTAAAACGTTTAATTATACAGTAAGCATACACACATGCAGACACAGGCAATTTCACTGACATTTCAGTGACACACACAAGCTCATTGATACACAGCCTCATAGACAAACAATCTTACTGATATACATCAGCTCATTGACATAAAAACACAAGCTCACTCACTAGCAGGCACACGCATGCAAGCAAGCTCACTCACTAGCAGACGCACACACACAGCTTAATGTGGTGGTACTGGTGTCTATAGCATGTCCCTACAGGCTTTTCAACGTAAACACTGACTTTTCAGACAAAAGGCAGTGTATACATTGCTTCAAAGTGACACTGCTAGTGACAGTCACTCAGACGGTCACTAGAGGTGCTTCCTGTGTTAGTGCCCTCCCGCCCCCGCGCACTGCTGAATGAGACTGGCGCCGGAATATGACATCATATTCCGGCGCCGGTCTCATTCAGCTGCGTGCTGGGGAGCAGAGCCAGCGCAGCTTGCGCAGCTCCCCCAGCGGCCGCCAGGACAAGTCCGCCAGCGGCCGCCAAAAGACCTCCCCAGCAGCCAGGGGAGGGCTGGCAGCCTTAGGCCTGGGGAGCAAAACCAGTCAAGTGGCCCATTGCACCACCAAATCAGTTCACCATCCATGCCCACCTTTTCCTGGTTTTATAACGGATATTGATGTTATGCTAATCAGTAGTTCTTTGCCATATCCGCTCCTTCACGGCTCCAGGCACTGCTTGTTGTGAGTGTGAGCCACTGTAAATTAGGGGCAGAGGGCACTTGCACTGCGGTAAAGACGGGGCTGGGCAGGAGGAGAGTGCAGTGCAATCAGTGCACTCCCCTCCTGTGGGTCACCAGTAGACTGGTGCACCTGCCCAGGATCAGAGCCAGTGCAAGGATTTTTGCCGCCCTAGAAAAAATAAAAATTTGCTGCCCCCACATGTCACATCACAATGCCCCACCCATATGATCTGCCATATGAACTAACGCCAGTGCTGCACACAGTGTGTGTTTACATTAAAAGCCTGCAGGAACAGGCTATAGACACCAGAACCACTACATTAAGCTGCAGTGGTTCTGGGGACTATAGTGTCCCTTTAATGTGAGGTAAATTATAGATTAGTGTCACTAATAATATACTAGATTGCCTACTTACAAGCAGATGAGGATGATGATGGGCTGCAGTTTGGCTCCACTGGTCTGGTGTAGAACAGGATCTCTGGAGGCTGTTTGCAACTGTGGTCACAAAATTCAATGTTCTGGGAGAATTGGAAGCAGCTCCATTTTTTGGGGCCCCTTACACAGCTCAGGTCTGGGCCCCAGGGCCTGACGGTGAGTATGCCCATAAGGCCCACTCATAAGTTCCACCCACCTATGAGTTCGCTCACAGGGAGTGGAGTGTGTAGGGGATGTGTTATGTGTTATTGTAGAGGATCTAATATGTGTGCTTATGGTATGTAGTGTTTAGGGTTACCAGTTTGTGCAGGTGATGCAGTGTGTTTGTGTGTAGTGGAAGCAGTGTGTATTTGTGTATAAGGGATGTATTATGTGTTTCTGGTTGTGTGTAAGGGATGCATTGTGTGAATCTGTGTTTGTATGCATAAGGGATGCAAGGTGTGTGTCTGTATGTGTGTGCATGAGATGCATTGTGTTTCTGTGTGTATGTAAGAAAAGAAGTGTGTGTGTTTGCATGCGTGTGTACGGGTTTGCATTGTCTGTTTCTGTGTATGTGTGCAAAGGATGCATTGTCTTTGTGTGTAAGGGTTGCATTGTGTGTGTGTGTGTGTAATGGATGCATTGTGTGTTTCTCTGTGTGTAAGGGAAGCATGTTGTGTTTCTGTGTATGTATAGGGATGCATTGTGTGTGTGTGTGTGCGCACGTAGTGTGAAAGAGCTCCCTGTCTTGGCCCTGTCCTATAGAGCTGTCCCTTCTTCTTATTCCCCCCCTCCCCTTCTTCTTATTCCCTCCCCTTTTCTTATTCCCCCCTCCCCTCTTCTTATTCCCCTCCCTCCCCTCTTCTTATTCCCCCCTCCC